TAAATTATCTCTTAGAGTATCTACAGCATAAGAAACTTTGGACCTTCACATGCAAACAGTTCTGTTTTGTCTTCCCATATTTCTTGATCATGACCACCATCCTTGGACAGAACAGAAGCTGCCTACAACAAAAGTAAGCCTCATAGAGCCAAACTAATATGTACCAGCAGGTTTGCCTATATGTTTGAAGTTCAACTGAGATTTACATCAGGCAATTCCAAATCGTCCCTTGCTTCAATTGCTTTGTGATTACTCTATGATTCCTTTCTTTCCATAACAAAATGATTTTTGTAATTGAGAAGACATATAATGGGACTCTGGCATCACCCATGTCCCCAGCAAGTCTGATTTTTCTTTTTGGATCTATCAAGTACCAGTGGTGAACTAATCCAATGTATTGTATTCCCTATTTATAAGATCTCATTAAAAAAGAGATTGCAAAAATATCCTCCAGTAGAAAAAGACAAGAAATCGTTTAGTTTATTCTCTCGCTCAGTCTGGATTAACACCATTTCAAACAGAAATCAACAAAGAAATACCTTAGTTGTTTTCACTTTGTTTCCACTACTGCAGCTCCATCCAGATGAATCTGGTAGCACTTTACATTCCTCTCCTTCTAGGCATGGCTGCATTTGGCACCACCACTTCTGGACCACTATTGAGGCTGGGGCAAAGAAAAGACATGATGGGAAAACATTCTGGATTCTAGAGCTTGTCTTGCACAGGAATTTAAATGGATAATCTGTTCTGTGGCAGCAACCAGAAGAGGAGATGTGAGGTGGAAAATTTAAAGAGTCATCATTTCATAATATTACCAATGAATTGATGCTATTGATGATACAATATTAGGCAAGCATGGCATTATCAAAGCTGTAATTCATGTTTTTCAGGTAATCATCTATCCCTAGGAATTGTGGCAGAGAGTTTTACTGATTTTTAAATGGGGGGGGGGATACAACCACTAATGCATATAATGATACAGATAAAAATCAGGTTATCCATTCACCTGACTGCCTGTGCAGGTTAAATCAAAATCAAAGCTAGAAATCTTATATATGTGTGTCCTCTCACATGGTAGAAGGGATATTATACTTACTAGTCTCATATGGAATGAGTAAGTCAAGTAAGCGATACCACAAAGAGTGACAGTAGGCTTTCTTGGAAAGTCTATCTGTATGAATGCACAGTAAGCCAAATCCTGGACATGGCCAGACCACAGGCAGCAGCACATAATAAATGATGCCAGGCAGAGCAGGGGAGGCCAATGTAGTTAGACACCCACCACCTCAACCAAAGGCCTGGTGGGAACAACTCCATTTGTAGGGTTTTGGCAAATCTGAGAATGTCATGCTGGCTCAGTGATGTCACTTAAAGCTGAAGTCTGGTACTCCTCCTTCTCACTTGCACATTCAGATGCTGGCATGCCTTGCGTCTCGGTCAATCAAGTGAGCTAGGTGGGGATTTTGGCCTCAAGATTGGGGGTGCTGGGCCAGGCTCTGGACCAGTCTCTCCCTCTGACTGCACCTCAGTCTCTTTGCCTTGCTGCCTCTCCTGCACAGATGCTGGGGCCTCTTCCCCCTCAGATTCTGGTAAAGGTTCCTCTTCTGGGCTGACTCCAGAGGAGGCTGGGTTGCTCCATGCTTTTTTCTCATCTGAGGAATAGTCAGCCTCAGCAGAGCCAGCACCCATGACAAGCTGGTTCAAAATGCAGCTGAGCATGTTCTTACCAGAACACCCCAAAGAGCACACATACAATCAGTGCTCCATCAGCTGCACTGTCTCCCAGTTGAGTACTGGATCAAGTTCAAGGTTATGATATTAACCTTTAAAGCCCTGTGCAGTCTGGGACCAACATACCAGCAGGACCATTCTCTCCTAGTATGCCCCCACAAAGTGTTATGCTCAGCAATTCAATATCTGCTGGTGGTCCCTGGCCCAAAGGCCTCAACCAGAGCCAGAACATTTTCGGCTCTGATTCCGGCCTGGTGGAACTCTCTCCCAAGTGAGATCAGGGTTCCTGTGGGACTAGCTACAGCTCCACAGGGCCTGTAAAATGGAGTTGTTCCACCAGGCCTATGGTTGAGGTGATGGGTGTCTAATTACATTGGCTACCCCTGCTCCACCTGGCATCATTTATTATATGCTGCTGCCTGTGGTCTGCCCATGTCCAGGATTTGGCTTACTGCACATTCATACAGATAGACTTTCTTGGAATCTCTAGTAATTGTGCTGATTGCCACCTGGTCTACTGTAGGTTTTATATTTATAATTATGTTTTAATTATTTAAATTGTTGGGAAATTATTGTTGTTTAATTATAGTTGAGACCCGCCCTGAGCCTTGCTGTGCAGAGGGAGGGCGAGATAGAAATTCAAACGAATATAAAATAAAAATAAAACAAATCTTTCTTCATTCTGTGATCCCAATCTAAACTGGCCCCAATACACCTGGGAATTTAGTTCCAAACTCACAGAGTATGTCTGAGCACCAAGGCCATGATGAAAACATGAAGGCACACTGTTTCCTAACTTTGAAAAATACAGAAAGAAGACATGGGAGGCTGTGAACTGGAATGGAGAAAGGGCAAGAGAAGAGATAACAATATTTTCCCCTCTAAAAATTGTTTAGCCACCCAAATCCCCCATTGCTTTTCCACCCAGGAAGGGAGGGGGGGGTAATTAACTGAAGATACTAGGCATTGAAACAACAATTAAATGTTTTTCGCCCATGAGGGGAACATCATCATCATCAAGTTTATTGTATTAGCCATTAGCCATAACAAAACATAAATACAAACACAATCCTTATACATCACATTAAGTTATCCCTTCACTAACTTGCACTGAATCCTAGCCTTAATCTTATCTTTTTTGCCACCAAAGCAAACAGGGACATTCTGCTGGTAACATATACATCCATATCAGAGAGCAAAAAAACAACCAACTCCTGTTTTGAGAATCCATTGTGCAAAGGTAAAATAGGGTATATAAATCTCTGCCTAAGTGATTCATGCCATGAGCATCTCAGTAAATAGTGCTCAATATCATCCACTTCGCCCAAACCACATTGACAGATTCTTAAGGCAACAGGTAAACCCATAAAACGACCAACACAGACCATTGAAGCAATGGCATGGAATCTGAGGGCTGTAAATGCCCTTCTTAGGTCAAGATTGGTTAGTTTCTCTAAATAGCCAGTCCTACAGTGATCTCTTTTAAAGATCTTAAACAGAGGGGCCGTTCGGCAACTTGCCGCCGCATGAAGGTTCAAAAGGCCATCCTTATGAGATACCCATTCCTTCAATTTGGACTTTTGATTATCATTATCCGCTAAACCCATTAGGTCATCCGGAATTGAGTATTCCTGTAGGATAGAAGACAGATAGTCATTTAAACTTTTGGAAGATTTCAACAATAATCCAAAACTTTGGACCCATGAGGGGAACAAGCAAGTTCCGGGAGGTATTTTCAGTTGCCAGAGGGTGACTGCAGCTGCTCCTTAGAAGACTGTTACATGCACCTTCCACACAGGGCTGGCCGGAGGCAAGCACAGATGCCGACCTCCCGGCGGGAGACTGGAGCACTTTCACTTTCCATCCTGCTCGGGCTGCCCGCCCCAGAGAGGCGCATGGGAAGGGGGAAGCGCGCCAGTCTCGGGCCCTTCGCCAGGCAGGCAGGTGTGGGCCCAGAAGCGCAGGGGGCGGCGGGGGGCACGGGGCTGGTGCTGGTGGCGAGCAAGGGCCCGGGGCGGGGGGCAGAGGCGTAGCCTTCCTCCAGGCAGTGCAGGAGGAACAGCAGGTGCGGCACAGCCAGGAGCATCTCCCACACAGTGCAGAACCCCTCACCTGGCCACAGCACAGAACCCCCGCCGAGCCACTGGAGGGGCGCACGGGCTGGCCTCGGCTGCCACCTCCCACGAGGGGCGGGACCCAGCGCCGGCTGGCCCGGGTCGCTCCTTGCGCTCCACCGGCAGCGGGGGGTGGTGGCTTCTTGCGGGCGGGGCAGGGGCTTTCTCGTGGGGAAGTGGCGGTGGCCATTCCTCCTCCTCCTCCATGTGCAGCGGGGTGGGCGGGCAGTCTCAGGCGGCCCTGAGCCAGGCCAAAAGCAGGCCGGACAGGGCCCCTCACCTCCCCACTTGTCCGCCCAGAGGCTACCTGTGGAGGAGGAGGAGGAGCGCCTTCCCGGAGCTGGCCAGGAGCACCTGGCCGGCCGGCAGCCACCTGGGATCTATGGCTGCCGGGCATTTAACGTGCGGGATTTCCCGCTGGGGGTGCTAATTGGGCTGCCGGCCCACGGATTCGCCCGGGCAGCGCTCCCCTCGGCCCCCTTCACCCCCACCCTTCTTGCCCCAGCCGGGCTGCGGGCAACAAGAGGCTGCTGGCGGCCGCCCCTGCCTCTCCTACCATGGCCAGCTCACGCTCTAGGCGAAGGCCTAGTTCGCCTAGCAGGCGAGGTGGCCCTGCTGCCACATAATTTTCCTGAAACTATATAAAAAGCTAGTCTGCCAAGTCTCTCTAGGGATCCCACCACTGTTCTTGACTTGCCTAGAAATGGAAAATTTTCTGGAAATTTTGAAGCCCGATGGGATTTTGGGGGGAAACACCCCAGAAATTTTGAGGAAAATTGTAGGCAATACTTACTTTCGTATCAAGCCTAAATTTCTTACACTGATTCAACATAAAATACATATATCTATTACTTATTTACCATATAATTAGGGCTGCCAGGTCTAGGTGGGGAAATACCTGGAAATTTGGGAGATGGAGACTGGGGAGGGGAGGGGAGGGTTTGGGGAGGGAAGGAACCTCAGCAGAGTGCAATGCCATAGAGTCCACCCTCCAAAGTAGCCATTTTCTCTAGGCGAACTGATCTCTGTTGTCTGGAGAGCAACTGTAATAGTGAGAGATCTCCAGACCCCACCTGGAAGTTGGCAATCCTACATATAATAATTGTACTATTTGTCATATTTATGGAATTTCTTCATTGTCTGTAAGAAACATTGAAAGTATGCCCAATACTTGATAAAGAACTGCTGACTGCTATACCTTATCCTACCACAGCTCATGTCTTGATATTTGCTATCTGAAATATGAGCTGAAGACAGAAAACAAATCGGCAGTAAACAACCACCACAAAAAGCCCCTCGATTATTTGGACAGAAACACTCTACAGCCACAAAAGGCAGACCTACCAGCATGTTTGCATATTTATGTATACAGTATAAATTGGAAGTATCATAATCTAATGCTGTAGATTTCTTACATAAACTTTTCCATAGTACACATTTTAAGTGAAACCTTATCATTCATTCCAAATGGGGGAAAAACCTTCAATTTTTTTCAGTGTTCCAAAACTTTTCCATTTTCCCATCAGAAAATTATAAAAAGTCTTCAGACATTTTCATGCTATGCATTTTGAGTTATAGAAACCCTTGTCTTAAGAAGCATTTTACTCATTCCAAAAGAGAAAATACTTTATAGGAGTTTTTTTCCCCCAGTGCTCCCCCAAAACAGGTATTACACTGGAAAATTATTGCCAACTACAGCTTGATAATGTACAGTGAAACATACACATTTTTTTTAAAAAAAACCACAACTATCTACAGTTAGGTTTTCACACATTTTCCTACCTATAGCATATCATACTATCAGCCTAATATACAGGGCTGATGCAGAAATAAATAATAACTGCAAAAACAAACAAATAAAAAAACTCTAAATGATTAGATAGGTAAATAGCTATACTGTTGGTTAGAACTAATTTAGCTTTTCCTAGGATCAAATTATAATTCTGACAGGGCACTCTCCTTTTATGGGCAAGGTCATCATGCCACTCAGTCTTTAGACTGGCAGTAAGCAACGTGAAAGCAAAAAGTCAATGGGAAAGCCTTTTTTAGGAGAGCGTCAGAGTATCACTAGCTGGAAAGTGATCCAACAGAACTGTCCCAAAACTTACTATGTCAGTCACATTTATACAAAATCCAGGGCCAGCCTTGCCAATCAAGCAGCAGGACCATCTCTACGACAAGACCAAAGTTACAAGAGCACTCATTCAAACCCTTTGAAATTCAGAAAACATCTCTCCTTATATATAATTGAATAGTGGGTGCCAAAGTTCTAATTCTAAAATGCACTCCCTTAGTGTATGGCTGATGGCACTGCTCCTCAGCATATATCGCCACCAATCAGAAGGCAAAGCCTGGGTCCTGCCCACACCACAACTGCTGCGACAACCTGGTCTTTTGCATATGGAAGCTGATTGGACTTCAGTCCATTCCACACCTCAAACTCCCCCTCCCCCGCAAGGCAGTTGGGATTTTCAGTTGCATAACATACCTCATGGTTACCACTCTCCAGGTGAAGGCTACAGATAACTCAAACATACAAATGCTCTTCAGGTAGCAGAGATCAGTCCCTCTGGAGAAAACAGTGAACTCTGTCATTAAACCCTGCTGAGGTCACCACAGGAAACTGACACTGTTTGCCCAAAGCCAGAGCACTCTCCCAGAGCCTCTTTCTAGATCCCGTTGTGTTTATTTCTGCAACGGGCATTATTTCTAGTGAATTACAATAAAGCAGCAGCCATGCCCTTAACTAAGGGGAAAATGAGGCTTAAGCAAGGTTGACAGGAAGTGCACAACCCATGACAGAATTGGTGGGAGGAGGTATTTCACAGCATGAGAGCTTTCCTGGTACACAACAAACAAGACTGCAGACCATGTGCAAATAACTACTACCATCCTTTTTGAAGAAGCTCTTTTTGGTAAGGATTGGGGGTCTACTTGCACCCTAAGGTCTGCTTTTCACATGGCTTTGTGGACCCAGAACCCAGTTCTTTCTGGCCATAGAAATCATACATAGAAGATCAAATATGAGAAGGAAGAACCCAGCCTGCTTTCTGCCCGCTGGCTTTTAGGAGACATGAGCTACATGCACTGAGTTCACTCAGCCTGTCAAGCTCAGTTTCAACCCTGGTCACATATTTATTTTGCACACCTGCCTGGAAGTCACCATGAACAGAGAAAATGCTATGTATGATACAGCCCATCAGTGTCCCAGGCATCCAGCACCTGTCCATGTATTCCCTCTTAATGCCCAACAACATACACCTCTCATATGCCCTGCAGGAAGTTCTTCTATCACCTAAAAGGATATGGAAGATGAACTGCTTTATTGTTGACACCTTTCACCAGAGCATTTAGGATGCTTCTGTGCATTCCATGAAATCAGTCTCCCAAACCCACAGAGTAATGTCATCTGGGTAACAAAGGCATTAGCCATATTACAATTTATGTTATAAGCATTAATTCCCTATCAGTTTACTCCCAACTCTGTATTTTATGAGTTGAGGTAAATAAAGTGCCTTTAAGAACTGTGTGACTAGGTTTTTATCTCATGCCTGCATGACAATTTCAGTAAAGTTTCGGTGGGTAATTTCAGGGGAACTGTTTTGCTCAATAGAAGGAAATACCTTTGTGAAGCAGCTTGGGATGCAGTCTTTCATGAGAACTGTATCCTGCATTTTTAAAAGTAGTTCCTTGGCATCAGGCACAAATCCATTTGCACTAGCCAAGCTGCCAAGCCAATCAATAATGTACCAGCAGAGGCTTCCAGCCACTTCAGACAGATCCAGAATGACAGTGCTCAATAAAAAATAGATGGGCTGTGAGGTTTTTTTTTAGTGCTTTGCACAGGTGATTAGACGGCATGTTATTATTCATGTGTTCAGCAGCTACACTGCCATAACAGGCTTCTCTATGTTAAAAGAAATCAATGGCAGAACTTCTGGACCAGGCAGCCTAGATCACTATGTGCCAAGCCTACAACAAAGGGCAGTGAGGCCCATAGATTTAACAAACATTCAGACAAGGGCCCTAAATTACTTCTGAGTTCAAAATCAGGCATGTCGAGTAATTAAAGCTTCAATCCACAAGCCATTCATTTCAGAATAGTCTTATTAAAATCAATGGAATTCTTCCAGAGTAATCAGGGAGTGGATTAATTGTGCTGCTTTAAGCAATTAAACAATTTACAAAAATGCACAACAGTACAAAACCTTGAAATATCACCAGCAGATTCCTTCTATAGCCCATCCCCTCTACATTGTACATGCTTGGGATCCTCATCCTACATTCCCCATCAACTGTGGTGCCAGGCAGAATGGAAGGATAACACCTGAAGTTAGGGTTATGGTTTTACTATACCAATTTTCTTCAGAATGATAAGAACTGTGGTGGGACCATAAGAAAGCTGCCCATATTCTACTGTACTAGCTACCTAACTGATGGGATGACATGCAGACCAGCACTGTGTGCTTTTTATCCCATTGCTGGTTCCCTTCCCAGTATTAATAAGGTTATAGTGCAGGTGGTGGACTCAAGATGAGCCATAACAAATGAGGATGCAGGAAAGAATAAAGGCAATCTACCAGGGCATCACCAGGAGCTAGGCTGCTCATTTATTATAGAGTTTGGACTCATATTCAAAATACCAAGAACTGTTGGGTTTAGGCATTTGATAGCCAAACAAGTAGATAATAACTTTAGCATGTTATAGAATAACGTGTGGGGTAAGATCATCTAAGGACCTACATGCTGTCAGCATACTGAGAATTATTAGCACCTAATATAAAATCTTCATTTCACTAAAGTTCCTGAGAGTTGGTTCTTTCTTTCTTTTGTTCTTTGATTTTTAAACCACCCTCCACTATATAGGGCTCAGGGCAGTGTACATATCAATAAATACATTTATGTCAATTATAATAAATTAAAACCTTCAAAACAATTAAACAGTGATAAAACAACTATTTAGAATGGTGTCTTAAGGACACTTTATATCCTTTCCCCATAAGGGAGAGGGGAGATGAAGGGTGCCAAGTTTAATGGCATTTTAGAACATTTTACATCATTTCCCCATGAAGGGAAGGGAGAGATAGAGGAGGCCAGGCTCGATGGCAACCGTTGCTGTCCTCAACCGTAGGCCTGGCAGAGCATCTCTTTCTTACAGGCCCTACGGAACTGCACTACATTCCATAGGGCCCAGATGTCATCAGGTAGAGAGTTCCACCAGGCCAACGCCGGGGCAAAAAGGCCCTGGCTGTAGCCGAGGACAGCCGGATAGCCTTTGGGCTGGGAATAGAACAGGGGGGGGAGAAAGGAGTCTAAGGTCTTTCCCACCAGCTGACTGATTATCAAAGTGCAAAGTGCATCCTTAGGGCCACACGCCTCTGGCTTGACCATAAATATTTTCTTGTGTTTCTGGGTTTAGCAACCAAAGTTGCTAAGAACTTTGCAAAAACCTATTAACCACATTTACACTTCAGCACAATCATTTTTTGTCAAGCTGCGGCTCTCTTGATTGAGTCAAACCTTTGCCAATAAGTAAGTGAAAAGCTTTCCATCTGTACAATGGCAGCATTTGGATTAAGTGATGACATGACTCAAGGACAAAGAACACTAGTTAAGAATGAGGACAGGAGAAAACTATTTTTAAAGAAATATGGCACTGAAGCTACAGCTTCTCGGAGCTGTGAACAGCACTGAACTGTCATGAGTATGGTATGCTTTTGGAGTTCTTTCAAAAGACCGTTTTTTGAATCAAACATTTTCATGGGAGAATGTTCAGATCAGCCCTGGGCTTTTTAACACAGGAGGATTTTGATGTAAATCTCCCATGAGGCATATCCAGAGTTAAAGGCTGCAGAACAATGAGTGGATTTCTTTATCCATCCTCATATCCCAATGATCAGTTTACTGGGGCCCCGCATACTCACCATCCACACATGAAGGAGCAGCCCGCGTTGTCCCAGCCACCTGACCTGGGAAGCAAGAACATTTCACAGTTTGTGAACGCTCCTCTATCTTATTCTTATTGCAGCATCTGTGGGCAGCAATGACTTCACATGTGCCAGGCTCTATGTGCACTGTAGGGAAGGAAAGCATGATAAATTACACAAGGCCCTGAGAGTTAGTTGGCATAGCATGCATATGTTACAGCACCAAGTATGAAACAAATCATGATTTAAAAAGCTTTAAAAGACCTGGACACAGAATACAGAAATCTATCACACTATTAACAGATCCTCATTGGGCAACTGGTGTTTATTTGACTCTGAAAGTGCAACTAATGCTTGTAATTAGGGTTGCCAGGTGCCTATCTCATGCTGGCAGGGGGATTTGGGGGCTTCCAGGGGTGGGCAGGGACATCAGCGACATGATGACATCAGATCCAGAAGTGACATCATTGTGTTGGTGATGTCATACAAAGACATCTGTTTGGGGGTGGGGTTTCCCCACCAGCCAGCTGGCTGGTAACAGTCAAGAGCCCACAAAAGTGGGGGATCCCCCACCCCCACCTGGGGACTGGCAAGCCTACCTGTAATTAAAAGACAGAATAAGTAAGGTAAAATTGTCTTGCCATAATTTTCACAAATACATCAGCAGTCTTGATAGAAAGATAGCATGATATATACACCCTTCAAATGAGTTAAACCATTTCACTAATACTATATCCTAAACAGAAACAAAAGGAATCAAGATGAAGTCAGAGTTATGATGCCAGTGACGCAGAACTAGCTCAGAACCGATCTCTCACATGCTCTTTCACCATTCCATTTGCTTTCTTGTGCACTTGTTCCAACTTTTTGAACAAAGATAACCAAAACAGAACTCAGTATTCCAAATGAGATTTTGAACAGCAAGATCTTCCTGTCCCTAACTGCCAATAATTTGGCTAATATATCTAACAGTATATCCACCTTCCTAATGAATACACAACACTGGTGACTCACAGATGTCACATGGTTCTCTAGCATTTTCAGCTCATAAATTTCAAGCAGATACCCAAAGTGTCCCAAGCTTATAACAATGTACTTTACACTGTTAAATCCCTCTCCTTTTCTGTTTCTCCAGTTCATAAATAATTCCATTTATTCTGCATACTTTCCCAGTTGTCAACTGAACTGAAAGTTCTTCACAGTTTAGAGTCATTCATTAACACATTCTTACTTCTATCATAGATTCAGATGGGTACACCTTAAATAAAACTTTGTTGATCTTAAAGGTGCTGTAGGATGTGCCCTGTGTTCTAATGTTTTTTATTGATTATTGCTGTTTTACAGAAGCCTTTGGGAAGAAATTATCTGGGAATCTCCTGGAGAGTTGACAACCTGTTTTAGTACACTAGAAACTACTGTATAATGCCAAGTGATTTCAATCATTTTTAGTTGATATGGTTTTCTAGCCCTTATTTCAAAGAGAAAGGGCGTATTTGTGATGCAACCTTTTAATTGAGAACGACTGCAGGTGTTGTCTTCTCAGCCAATTTTTTATTAAGACCTGTCAAGTGTCCAAGATTTATTACATAATCCTGCTGCTTTAAAGGAATAGGGAGTTTTGTTCTTTGAACTGCAGGTGTGTTTCTCCCTTGTTAAAATCTCTGCCAATTTCCCATTAGTTGGTCAAACTGACCTGGCAAGGTGCCAGTCAAGCCAAGGAATAGGGTTAAGTGAAGTGCAATCATATTCTCTATGCAACATTTATATTATAAGTTTTTAAGAGTACTATATAGCAACTCTGAATGTTTACAGCTGACAATGAAAGCCTATGCAGTGGTTTGTGAATGTTAAAGATAATGGAAACCCAGACTATGTTAGCTTGGGATGTTGCACTATAAAAAGAAAAGACTCTGTTTGCATTTTTAACTGTAATAGCAGAAAGCTGTGCTTAATTAATTGAACAGGTGTATGTCAGCAGTTCTAATGGGAAAGAAACTATTGCCAATTCTAAGATTTATTGTTCTATCTTGTACTTTTTATAGAAGAGCCTAACTAGGTCAAAAGGACAGTTTGCCTAAAGAGAGATCATTATACACAAGTAGGTGTACAAATGACCCGGCCAACATAGAAAATGTAAATCATGGACAAGTCAATTAAAGAAACTAAGTTGAAAGAACTAACTAGGGGAGATGTTCCGAAGTGTGTCTTTTGAAGTTTTACAGAGTACCCAGCTACTAACAAATAAGCAGAAAGTTAAAATTAATGACCAGGTGAGTATAAGTTTAGCCAAGAACAAAAGTCATTAATCATGACTCTTGGCATCAATTAAAAGGGGTCAATTAGGAATACAGAATTTGTATTGTAGAACAGTGTCTCCTACAGGCTGAACTGAGCTATGTGTTTTACAAATTATAAACTTTAATTTTAACAGAAGAAGCTTCATAAAATGACCAGAAAATATTCTGTAAAATATTCTGATAAACCGAAATGAAAACTAAAAAATAGATTCAATGCACCTACAAGAGCTTCATACCATAAGCTATTTTAAAACACTAAAAGAATTCATGTAAGGAGTTTAATGCTTTAGAATGTCATTGTAATGATATTGTTTTCATATTTTGTATACTTGTTAGTGAAAATAAGCTTATAGGAACGTTTTAAGAGAGCTGTTATGCTTCTATATGCATGTATTAATTTTTGATGACAAGAACTGACAGAGTTTAATACTGAAAATGAACTCAACCTGGAGAGATCACTCAAAGGTGAAAGAAGTCCGGGAGTCTGGCCAAAGGAGTAAACAAAATCGTAAATCAAAAATAATGAGCATTGCACCTGCATTGTAGGAGTTGAAGTGCAGCCAAGTAACATCCTGTGTGTCAAATATGTGACTGATAAATGGTCAGACAAAGAAAACTGAACTGAGCATGTCTAAGTGATGTCAGTGATGATGTAAAGTGAGGAGGAACAAGAAAAGTATATAAGCAAGCTCCCGGCTGTAACAAATTGAACAACTATGCTGAATTAAGTTGTGAGGTGCTCCTTTATTCAAATAATTTTGTTACCTTTTACTGCCTGAATGATTGTTTTCACTGTGTGGTTTATTGGCTAGCCACATAAGTCAAAGAACCTTAGTGCCCTTAGTGCATTGGCAACAGTGCCATGGACTCAAACTTTGTTCTGTTATTTCTATCATGAAAGTTGCCAACAAAAATGCCAAACAAAATAGTCCTGAGGGGGGGGGGGGTTTCCCATCTGAGGTAACTCAAGGATTTTATTTGAGCTATGTGATAATAAAGTTGTTCAGATTCCTGTTATATGATGTTAACATGTTATGTTATAGTTGGATATATGCTGTTATTTTAAAATAATAATAAAAAAATTAAAAAAGAGCTATGGCATCTTCCATTTAGGCATCCCACAATACAAACATGATTCACTGGCCATCCATCCCAATGTAACTAGTTATATGGAAATTTGGAAAACGCAACAGTGGCCACAAGATTGGAAAACATCAGTATACATTCCATTCCCAAAGAAGGGCAATGCCAAGGAATGTTCAAACTATCGCACACTTGCACTCATATCACACGCTAGCAAGGTCATGCTCAAGATCCTACAAGCTAGGCTTCAACAGTACGTGGATAGAGAACTGCCAGAAGTAAAAGCTGGGTTTCGAAGAGGTAGAGGAACTAGAGATCAAATTGCCAACATTCACTGGATTATGGAGAAAGCAAGAGTACCAGAAAAACATCTACTTCTGCTTCATTGACTATGCTAAAGCCTTTGACTGTGTGGATCACAACAAACTATGGCAGGTCCTTAAAGAGATGGGAGTATCAGACCACCTCACATGTCTCTTGAGAAACCTGTATAAGGGCCAAGAAGCGACAGTTAGAACCGGATACGGAACAACTGATTGGTTCAGCATAGGAAAAGGAGTACGACAAGGATGTATACTGTCACCTTGCTTATTTAATATATATGCAGAGTACATCATGCGAAATGCTGGCCTGGATGAATCACAAGCCAGAATTGAGATTGCTGGGGAAAAGATCAACAACCTCAGATATGCAGACGATACCACTCTAATGGCAGAAAGTGAAGAGGACCTAAAGAGCCTCTTGCTCAGGGTAAAAGAGGAGAGCGCAAAAGTGGGCTTGAAGCTCAACATCAAAAAAACTAAGATCATGGCATCCGGCCCCATCACTCCTTGGCAAATAGAAGGGGAAGTCGTGGAAGTAGTGACAGACTTCACGTTCCTGGGATCCCAGATCACCGCAGACTGTGACTGCAGCCATGAAATTAAAAGACGCCTGCTCCTTGGGAGGAAAGCGATGGCGAACCTAAACAGCATGATAAAAAGTAGAGACATCACCCTGCCAACAAAAATACGCATGGTCCAAGCAATGGTATTCCCAGTAGTCATGTATGGCTGCGAGAGCTGGACTATAAGGAAGGCCGAGCGCCGAAGAATAGATTCTTTTGAACTATGGTGCTGGAGAAGACTCTTGAGAGTCCCTTGGACTGCAAGAAGAACAAATCAGTCAATCCTCAAAGAAATCAACCCTGACTGTTCCCTGGAAGGCCAGATAATGAAACTGAAGCTCAAATACTTTGGCCACCAAATGAGAAGGGAGCACTCACTGGAGAAGACCTTGATGCTGGGAAAGACTGAAGGTCAAAGAAGACAGGGACGGCAAAGGATGAGATGGTTAAACAGTGTCATAGACGCAACGAACATGAAATTGAGCAAACTTCAGAGGACAGCAGAAGACAGGAAGGCCTGGCATGATCTGGTCCATGGGGTCGCGAAGAGTCGGACTTGACTGTGCGACTGAACAACAACAAAAATTGTATCCAATGGCTTGCAGACCTGCAAATACCCCAATTCAATTCATTTCACTTGCCTCAGTTAAAATGATTTTGGCAGCTTAACACTAGTTAATATTGACTGGTCATCTGGATTCTGTACTTGTGCTAAGCAATCTCCAGAAATTTCTAGAACTATTTCTAGAACTATAGTGGATTTGCTGGTTAGGGTTACATTCAGCTATCATGAACAAACTTTGTTTGGTCATGTTGGGCTTGAAGCCATAGAGCCATGCTTGCATGCTCCTTCCCGTCTCCCCTCATTTGTGGAAAATAAC